CGCCTGCACATCAACTGCTGCGAAATGATGGCAGTTTTTCTGGCTCTACAAACCTTCCTACCGGCCTCAAGGTGCACCACGTCCTGGTTTGCTCAGACAACATGACGGTGGTAGCCTACATCAATCACCAGACTCATGTCACGCTCCCTTCACAGGTTGGCTCGTCGCCTCCTGTTATGGGCACAAGGCAAACTCCTCTCGCTAAGAGCAGTTCATGTGTCGGGCAGACTGAACCAAGGGGCAGACATGCTGTCCAGGGACAATGTATCTCCAGGGGAATGGAGATGGCATCCCCAAAAGGTTCAAATGATTTGGTTGGTCTTTGGAAATGCAGAGGGGGACCTCTTCGCCTCAGAAGACAACTCTCGCTGCCCAATCTATTTTTCCAGGCAGTGAGATGCCCTGACCCATGACTGGCCCAGCGCTCACCTGTACGCCTTCCCACTGGTTGTCCTGCTGCCTCAGGAGGCTTGCAGTGGCAGGCTTGCAGTGCCCTATAGGTGTGAGGGCCCACTCCACCAGAGGAATGTCCTCCTCTTGGGCGTGGTCCAGCGGGATTTCTATTGGTGAGATTGTGCGGCTGCGGGATGGTCGTTGCCATCTACCTTTGCCAGATTCTATAACTTGGACATCCCTGCCCTGCAGGCATGGATCTTGTCCACTAAATTTTACCCAAAATCCCCTTTTCTAGGTGGAGAGGGTTATGTTATGTTAAGGGAATTATCCAGTTACTTGCGCAACCTTGGTTCCCGGAGATAAGGGAATGAACGTTGTGTAAGTTGCCATGCATGCTAATCGATGACTGACGCTTCGGTTGAAAGATTCTGATGAAATGGTGCTCTGCCGACTTATATAGCAGATGGCTCCTCCCCTTCTGGCAGGTTAGAGCGCCATTGGTTTGTGCAACTACACAAACGTGAACAAATCAGGCTTCAGTAATAAAGTAAACAGAAGTTTACCCCATAAAGTGTTCCACGCAATGCTCCTTCCCTTATCTCAGGGAACTGAGGTTACTCAAGTAACCAGAGCATTTTCTCCTGTCCTCTTTTGTTGCCTTTCACGTCATAGCTCATTATAGCCAATATATCTTCTAAGGTTACATGACAATTCAGAGTGATAAGGTTGCAGGAATAATCTCAGTTCTGATTAAATCATTTTTTAACATAATGCGTAGTTCTCAAAGTAGTTCACGCTCATAGTCATTTCTTACAGGTAGCGCAAAGTCTTTCCCCTGGGCAGTGGCTACGTCACGACACACTTCCGCAATCTTGCGGAGGAAAGCTGCCTCAGTGATTTGTTGATGGGTGAGGGATCCATTGGCAGGGAAGATTTTGAATGCTGCAGCCTGAGGGGGCTGAAATAGAGCCCCCTGGAGGAGAAATACAGCCACTACAACCAGTGAAATCATGACTGTTCACGACAACTGTAGAAAAATGTATAATGGGAATTAAATCATTTCTTACAAAAGTGATCAATTTTCATAAAATATTATATATTTTCCTTTTTCTTCCTGTGTCTTCAACAATTATCCTGGTGAGTGGAATAATGTCTTAAACTTGCAGAGTATTGCCATCTGCAGTCAATTGCTTGTTATAGGTCTCCTAATCAGCACTAAACACCTGGATATCTACACATTTTAGTTAGTAGTTCAGTTTCTTATCCAGTTTCCATCCGTTAATTGTATGTACTGCTGACCAGTGTTGGGGTAACGCATTACAAGTAAAGCAAGTTACGTAATCAGATTACTTTTTTCAAGTAACTAGTAAAGTAACGCATTACTTTTTTAATTTACAAGAAAATGTCTAAGTTACGTTTTCAAATAAGTAACGCCAGTTACCCATTTATTGATTGAAAGCTCTCCTGTCTGCATGTTGAGAGAAACCGGGAGTAAGATGTTACTTTAGTTATAGAATAAATGTGAAAAATGCATTAATTCATCTCGCTCAAAAAAAAAAGCAAAAAACTGATTCAGTATTCCTCAGAATGAGTAAAAACTTAAAGTTTTTAAAACTCTCAACTCAGAATATGACACAAACCTGCAATAATTAAACATGTTAAATAATACAAATACCCTTTATGTATTTAATCCCATTTTATTAACCAGTGTCTTTGCTGCTGACCTGCGATGATCCAATTCAACCATACTAATAAGCAAAAATTACTCAAGATAAACTAACATTTCTTCTTATTTTTTATTGCTGAAAAGTGTTGATCTTTCTTCTTCTGCATTCTATACAGACATGAATTTACTTTTCCTTCAGCCTGAGGCTTTTGGTGTGAAAGGGCTTTTGCATTTGCCAAAAATAAAACGTTTTTATATTAAAAACAAACAAGCATGCACTGCCCAGATTTAAAAAGTAACGCAAAAGTAATGTAATGCATTACTTTACATAAAAAGTAACTAAGTAACGTAATTAGATACTTTTCAGGGAGTAATACAATATTGTAATGCATTACTTTTAAAAGTAACTCTTCCCAACATTGCTGCTTTCTATTTAACAGATTGTATCTTGAGGACATTAAAGATTACAAATAAAAGTGGTGACCCATGCACCAAAACACATATTTTGGATCTCTCCTTTTTGACACACCCAATTCAGGTCTTGCAGCACCCTACTGAATCAGGTGTGTTGGATTAGGTACTAAAAAAGTGCAGTGCTGAAGGGGTTCTGGAACAATGTTTGGGAACACTTCTGTAACCAAACTCCAATCTAACACATTTTAACTCCCAAATAAAAATCTTAAATTTAACAACAAATTCACCACAAACCTGTCCAACATATTGTCTTTACTGGAAGACAAAAAGTTAATTAAGTTTTTTTCTCAGTATGATGAGGTTTTACCAGGACTATTGAAAATTTCTCCTTTTGTTTCAGAAGACAGTCATATAGATTTATGATTATATGAGGGTGAGTAAATGGTAAAATAATTGTATTTTAGGGGTCTTTAAAGCTAATAAGAGTACAGCTGAGAGAGAAAGTGTCAAAGTTTTCAAATGAGTAGAGGAAATAAACAGCAAGGAGGAAAATATATTCAGATTTATTTTAAATTACTTTCAAAATGTAATCTAGCAACTGTGTTTTAAATTTCTAAAATATAACGTTTTTAATATTAAAAATACTAAATTATAGTAAATTTCTAATATAAATGTAATGCACTACATTGCCAGAATTGTCTCCAGTAAATGCAAGATAACATAATTACAAAAGCAAAGGGGGAAAAAGGATAGAATATTTACATTACCTTGTGGTTTGCTTAAGAATAATGCATTTGCAGGCTCCGTTTGTATATTTATATCTTTTTACATATGACATCAGTGCGACATGTCAGTCTTGTAAGGCTACCAGCAAATAAGTGACAGCATAAATTATCAAATTTGAGAAAGACAACGTGCTTCCATTTTAACCATAATTATATACTTTTCATTAAATATAAACAAATAAATCTAGTACCATATCAACAAAATAAATCCACCATGTTTATGATCTATGGAATCCCCTAAATAGTGAAGAGGTACTAAATGAGAATGGAAGCAAAAAAGAAAGTAACACACATTTAATCAGGTTTGTGCACTCTTACCCGCCTTTTACAAATAGATATGGTTTAGGCTGGAATGAAGACGGATTTCATTCCCCCACACCTTGCTGTTCTTAAAAAGGATCTACTTGGTTTTTATTAGTCCTGGAACAAGATTTCTGACAACCAATCAGGTGTGAGGACTAATGTTAGGCTTAGGCTTAGTACCAAGGTTAGAGGCTTGTACACCATTGTTATCAATCTATAAATTCCCTTTAGTTAAAGGTTTAGGTTATGATTAGGGTTTGGGTTATAACTTGGCAGGATTGTCGTTCCAGGACCAACAAAGCCTGCTGACCCAGAAACATGCCTGCCAACAAAGATGTTGTCCTCAGCAAACAAAATGGTTTAAATGTCAGATAGGATCAAAGAAAGCAGCTTGACTTCATTCCCCACAACCACCCTTACAAACCACACAGACCATGAAAAGGTTTTAATGCCAAATAAGACTAAGTATGATTAGGGCTGGAATGAAGTTTGGCATTCCTTCAGTAGTCTAGATAGCACAGTATCTGCCTGAAACCAAACATTCCTGTTTGATGATAAATGACAGCTGTGGATTAAACTGGCAATCCTGGATACTACATTGCATAATCAAAACAAAGCCAACAAATCAACAGTCAGCATTAGACAGGAAATGAGAGATTTTAATTGCCCGATGAATACGATCTCTGCATCCATGCTGACTGAATCAGAAATGTTTCTGCCATTTTATTTCAACATGCCCCAAATTGGAGTGAGTTGGAATTTCCTAATTTATGAATTGATAATTGTACTCCAGTTTTAACTGTTGTAAATGAGACAAGATTATGTAATGTAATTAGTTGGGCTAAACCCAGCTGTCACAGGACAAATCAAAGTCCTAAACACTCCGGTTTTAGCTCTAACAAAATGTTACTTTGCATGGCATTACTTTACAATGACAGATCTTAAAATTATTGTTACTTTATATGTAGTAGATAGGTGTCAGTTTGCATTGAAATTTTAGGTCTAAGATCAAAACTCTCAGTTATCTGTGATTGGTGAAACTAAGTGATGCTGAAATACACACTTAAGCATTAAGATTCATTTGAAAAGCATAAGACAATATCCATGTTTATGATTGTGTTTATTATTCTTGGGGAAAAAAAGACATTTAATAAGAGTTACGTGTGAACACACAGGAACATTCAGAGGTAATCATTCACTTTGGAGATGGATTACAGATTTTGTAAGGCAGATTTTCACCTGCTAAAAATCACCATGGAATAAAATGGACAATTCTTATTACTTTCTCGAATGTTATCTTTTTTTAATTCATTTAATTCAAAATATGTATTCAAAATAACTTCCGCTCCCCTTGAATGATATCTTCTTTGGTGACATGTTCAAAAGTAAAGATATTATTGTATAGTGTTACAGGCTATGCTAAATGTTATTTAGAATCATATATAATGAGAAATGAAAAACCAGAAGAAAGCAAGGCACATGGAAAGCAAGAAACATCCACTGAAAATAGCATTTGCTGTGGAGACAGTGAGTCGCAGCATGACATAATTCAGATCAGTGGATCCCGGAGCTTCTGCCTCAGTAGTGAGTGTGACATCTGTCCCTGACTCTGTGTCTGAGGGTGCGATCAGTGTGACACTTCCTTGAGCACTTCCCCCGGTTCCCAGGGTCAGAGAGCTGGGGAAAGAAACGCTGAAGTCCTGATCAGTCCGAGCTCTGATAGTGTAGTTGCTGCCTGTAGCATTAGAGGCCAAGGTAAAGTTGAAACTCAATGGGACTCCAGGCTGTATAATATTCTGTGACTGAGCCTGTGAAGGAACAGTTATAGTAAATATATGTTATTTGTCGAATACAGTAAGAGTTTTTTTTTTTTTTTACAAAATTGTGACATAAAATTAAGCGCATTTAGTTTAATAATGGTTGTAAATTATAGTTATTTGTGTTTGCGAACCCAGCTTTTTGACATATATTTCTCACCGTAATGGTTATTCTAGATCCTTTATGTTGGGTGTGTGACTGCCTCTGGAATCGGCTAGCCGACGACGAGTCATTCAACAGCCCTTTGAGCTGCACCACAAACGCCCCCTCTGGGATTCTGTCTATGTTGACCAGGAAGTCTGTCGCACCGACAGATTTGATAGTTCCACTCACAACATCAGATCCTGAAGCTTCAAGAAGCACATCAGTCACTGTGACTGAATCTCTTCCAGTCACAGAGACATAGAAAGTAGCGTTCCGACCTGATCAGCAATCAGAGAAACACTTATTTGAAATATTATAGCAGTGTTTGTGAGGGAAAAAAAATTATAAAAACTTGAATTTGTGTAGATTTAATCTAGTAAAAATACATTTGAGGAAGATAGCAATATTATACCAATAAAAGGGCGGGTGAAACTCTGCCCCCACGAGTCTTCGTGACCTCCCTTAAATATCTCCACAAAGTTAAAGTGGATGTCCACAGAACTCTGACCTGTATTCACAATTGAAGGAATATAGAGATGCATATACAGCATGCATTGACTTTGCTTTGGCAAATTGAGAGTCAAAATAATTTATAATAATTGACAGCATGACAGTTTACGTTGTATTTTGTCATTGTAGCCTAGAATGTTCCTTTCAGTTTACATGGCAGGCAAACTTTAAAAACAAACAAAACAAAATCTTGCTGGTAAACTGTCAATGTCATGCTTTTATTGCAAAAAACATTTTACGTTAAAGGGATTAACAGTTATTTTGTTTACAATATATTAATGAACTTCTGGAAACGTCATTGTTTTGCAAGCATGGACTTTCAATGGATGGTCAAAACTGATGAACGAATATAAAAAATATCTTAATTTGTGTTCTGAAGATGAACTAAAGTCTTATAGGTTTAGAACAACATGCAGGCGAGTAATAGAAGACCATTTTAATTTTTAGGTGAACTATCCCTATAAGTTGAAATGACTAATCAAAAAAGCTGACTGGTTCCAAAATAAATAAATAAATAAAATAATAATAGCAAGTCACATGCAGAAATAAAATGTTTACCAATGACTTTAAGGGTGTAGGAGCTTGTGGAGTTTATACTGATCTTCCATTCCCTTGTCTGTTTGGCAGAGTTGAGTTTTACTCTCCTTGAATTCCCAACAGTCAGGATGCTGCCCAGAGGACCATCTGCCATTGAACCTGGCTGAGACACACCTGAAGGTATGGAGACAAAACATTACATTAACATTGTACAAAAAATTAAATGACAGTTTTGGGTGGCGACAATCGAAGTAACTGGTGACCACCAGGGTAGAACCAGCAGAGAGGGGACCATGATGAGGCAGATGGAGGAGATGACCATGGCAGAGCCTGTGGAACTGGGGACCACCACGGAGGAGTCGGCAGAGCAGATGATCCCTCCTGAGCAGAACGATTATATCAACAACCACGGTGGATCCAGCAAAACCATGGCAGCTGGGAAAAGCCATGGCCCGGAGTCTTCATTGGGAACTGGGGAAACTCAAAGATAGCCCACTTGGGAGCACTGGACTTGGGCCACCGGACTTGGGACTTCCAAGGGGTTGGTACCCTCCTTCTCCTCACCCACTGTAAAGGAGGATCTGCATGATGACAGAACTCACTCCGAGTAATTGCAGAAGTTTCCTCAAAGACCATCCCCAGGCAGGTGCACTTTCATTTGCGCATTAAGTCCCACAAGATAGAAGATGCACAAGGAGTCATCTGGGTAATTTACCACAGGAGCTAGATGTAAAAACTCATGGGTGTGGTCCTCAAGGGAATAGTTCCCCTGGATGAGGAGGAGAATTTCACAGCTAGATCCATTTTGGGTCTGTTCTTCTGTCATGGGTGTGGTTACAGTTTATTGCATTTATTGAACAAAAACCAAACACCCAGGAACTTGAAATCACAAGGAAATAAAGGAGTACACCCAGGGCCGGATTTACCTCTTTTCGTGACATAAGCAAAACAAATTTTTGGGTCTCCCCTTCCCTATTAGGTAATATATAATATTACCACCCCAGCAAACAAAAATATTTCGTAATCAGTGGAAACAGTTACATTGTTTTCTATTGCAATAAGCATTTGCATTCAGTCAATAAAGATCGATTGAAGTTCTTAATTTGTTTGAGAACGGAGAATGGCATCGTGGCCACATTACCACTTTGGGAGTGCATTATTTCTCAATAATTTTACCGGCCTGGAGTCATGACCACACCTCAAGATATTGATTTAGCCAATTTCAAGACATTTGTCATGTTCCCGTACTGAAATCTCGTGTGTGTTGAACTAATTTCTTACGCACCTCATAAACCTTCCTTTGCAAACTCCAAAACGTCATTTTAGAGCTAATAACAGAGGCTTGGGCCATTGATATGCAGGCTAATGCAGTTATTAATGCAGTCTAATGTAGTTATGAGAGAGATAGTGAGAGCGAGAGAGAGAGAGAGAGAGATTAAGCGCGCAAATACCTGCGTCTGTGCATCTCTCAAGTGTTCAGCAGCAGCATCTACTTATAGCGAATCTTTAAGCTGAACTGCTTCAAGAACCTCGATACTGAGAAATGTCATGTAGCTTTTCAGCTGCGAAACTATTTTACTGATAAATTCGTGCAGCGCTAAGAACAAGTTTCTGTCTGTGTCTCCGTGTGTCTGCACTGTGTGTGTCTGTGAGAGAAACGGGAGAAAGAAAGTGTGATTTCCATGCATAAAAAGGTGGAAAACATGGAAATAGTTGTCATTTTTTACCCTATTGCTTGTTATATTTATTTGCTCAATGTCTTCTGGGGTTTTGGTTCTTTTACTGTTGTAGACAGCCCATATATAACAAAAAATATTATATATCTCTTTATTGTGTTTGGGCCCCCCTGGACGAGCGAGCATAGGCACATGCCTAGAGTGTCTATGCGTAAATCCGGCCCTGAGTACAACACCAAATTAACAACAATGTTAAGACAGGAATGGACAACTATATTAAGATAATGAGAGCTGAACAAGGCAACTAAAGAAACAGGAACTCAATACAGAATATTTGAACATACAACTAACAGTCGAAAAAACAGAAAAACACAAACAAAACGTGACAGACACAACCTGAATCACTCTGTTTATCTGTTACACAAGTATGAGCGACCTGGATGATTAAGCACAGAAAAACACATTCTGGTCAGAGATATGCTAGCTCACCTGTAGGGCTGTAGAGGGTAAAGACTAGAGGATCTCCATTGAGATATACTATCACATTGGACAGAGTTGGATCCAACACAAAAGAAAAGTTTTCTGCCTTGAATGAATTTCTCTTTATCTGAAGAACAGTCACCTTCAAGAAACACATTTGGGAAACAATTATTTCCAAGAACAGCACAAAACAGTAACAAAGCATTTAGCTTAGGATAAGATTGGTTGCATGATGCAAATTTATACTTACAGTACATAATAAAAGACATCTATTTATAATAGTGATGATAGGAGTTAATATATTGAGCTCAAAGCATTGTTAGAACTTACCAGGTCAGCGATGATTACATCCTTAATGACTGAAGTGACCTGAGACAATGTAGTGTTTGTGACCTCTATGGTCTGTCCACCAGAAACATGGGCCAGGTCTCTGTACAACTGTATGTCTGACAGAGACATTAATCTTGTTGGCAAGACATCCTTTTCACTAGGCAATGAGAAGGAGCTTGTAAGCAGGAAGTTGACCTGGATGGTGGGAGGAAGAGAGAAAATAGTTAAAATGTTCACAGAGCTGCATAGGTAGATTACTTACAATTTGAAGTCCATTACTGATTCCAAATTACCTGACAAAACTGTAGTCATTAACGTAATCCATTACATTAGACATTTTAGGTAATATAATCAGAATAATTTTAGATTACTTTTAGATTACTTTTGATTACCACATCCATCACATTGATTTAAATAGGAGAATCTTGTACTAAAATACAGAGAGAAAGAAAAAATATTCCATTTGTTGTTATTAACAACATGAGGTGCAAAGTGCATTAAACATTATATAATGATTTCCCAAACTGGGTTTTGGAACTGCCTGGAGTTTGAGTTTAATGAAAAAAAAAAAAATTAGGGAGAATCAATCAATTATGAATAATTTATTGCTGTTGCTTGAATAATATGCAATCATGTAATCAATAAAAAAGTAACTGTAGTCTGATTACGAGTATCTGAAAATGAAATATAATCTAATTACAAGTAATACATTTTTTGGTAACACTTTATTTTAAGGTGTCCTTGTTATACATGTTACATGTACAGTACTTACTATTATAATGACAATAAATTATGAATAATTACATGCAAGTAACCCTAAGCCAAACCCTTATTCTAACCTTAACCATATAATAAGTACATGTAGTTAATTAATATTACTCAGTACTTAAATGTATAATTAAACTGGAAAAAGGACACCTTAAAATAAAGTGTAACAAATTTTTGAAATCTGACTACATAATCCAGATTACATGTAATCATTTACTACCCAGCACTGAATGTACACTTTACAATAAGGTTCAATTTGCTAACATTAGTTAATGCATTATGTATCATGAACTAGCAATTTACCATTTTTACAGCATTTCTTAATCATGATTCGTGCATGCTTTATGTATTATTGTTCGGTGTTGATTTATGATAACTAATGCATTAACTAATGTTATCTAAAATGAAATCTGTTTGTAGATAATAAGACGTGTTACATAACTGAAGTAACAAATCAAGTAGTTCAAGCAGACACTCACTGTTGACTTGGTGCTTTCCATCATGGCCTCAACTGTGCTTTTTAATTCTGGGTCCTTTGCTGCAGCATCAGTGAAAACAAAAATGTCTGATGATGGAGGGGCTTGTGTCAGTGTCAACTATATCCATGAAACAACAAACCAGAACAAAAACGAACTTTTGAGATTATAATCACATAACTATCTTTATATAAAAGAACACACACACACACACACACACACACCAGGAGTGATGACAGGCACATATCTGAGAAGTTTCCACCATCGGATGCTAAAAGGGAATTAATATATTCTTTGAATGTGTCTGCATTTCCAGTCCGCATTAGAGGTCCAGAATCTGTCATCAGAAACACACACATTACAGAGACCAAGAACAGCGCATTTTAAACATAAAATGTGCCTGGTCCATGTATCTCACATGTATAAAATTCTGACCTACAATCTGAATGTCACAGCAGAAATCGAGACTCATCCAAACAGGCAATGTTTTTCCAATCTTGGTGGAATTTTGGTGAGCCCACTGTAGCTTCACTTTTTCTGTTCTCAATTGAACTGAACTGTTTCCTATCTATGAGTTTGAATCAGTCTGTTGAGTCTCCTCTCACCTGCTGCGTAGCACCAACAACCATTCCATATTCATAGTCACCAAACTATTCATATCATCAAACTATGAAGGAAAACCAATTTAACCAGCAGTGGCCCTGAAACAATTTGAAATGTGTTATATTTTAAGCACAATAGATGTACCCTGGTCATTAAATGTGACTAGAACATATTCTGAAGGTTCCTCTGATGTTCCTCTCCTGCTGTCTATGACACTGAAGCACACCCTCTTGAACACGTCAATGTAATTAGACAAACTGCCTGTGGTGTCAAACACAAAAGCCAGAACTGAAGCCTGAGTGAGGCCCATCAATCTAAAAAGAGAGAGAGGGGGAATGAAAAATTAAACAGTTAGCTCTATTTCCTTTTATTGAATGAAGAATGTACAGTATGGACATTTTTTCTAAAAAAATAAAATAAAAAAGTTTGTGTTCCTCGAAAGAATCAAAATCATACAGGTTTTGAAACATCATACCGAAGAAAGGCTACATTGCCTGTGGCCAGTCGGATGTCTTCCAGCAGTTCCATAGTAGCTCTGATGGCCATTTCAGCAGCACGCTTATGAAGGAAACCATGACTTGAGCTGATGTCATCCTTATTGATGCCTCCAGTGGGTTCTCTTGAACTAGTCCTGTCAAAAAAGCCGCCATGGCTACATTTGCCTGACAGACACAATTTTCATGGAAATGTTGTTGAAAAAAAAGTGTTTAGAGAGTCAGCTTCTCTCTACTCTCAGAATCAAACAAATCAAATATCCAGTTCGGAGAATAAAAACTTCATTCTTCAGTATGTCTCGGTTACGTATATACGTATATAAGCCCTCGTTCCCTAATGGAGGGAATGGAGACGTTATGTCGTGACGACATTAGGGGTTTACTTGGGAGCCCCAATCATCTCTGATTTTAAGAGAAAAAAACAAATTTTGCATGCTGAGCCACTCCCCGTGCATACGGGTATAAAGAGGCGACAGGTGCATCCACTCATCCAGGTTTTATGCTGAGGAGCCGATAACGTGTCCCTGGCAACCAGCGATGGTTCGAGGTTGTGGCATGGGGACATAACGTCTCTGTTCCCTCCATCAGGGAACGAGGGTTACATTCGTAACCGAGAGGTTCGTTATCTGTTGGTCACTACGAATTATGCCGTGACGATATTAGGGGTCAATGGAAAGTGCCACAACCCGAACACTGTCACAACCCTGTGGCGCCGCAAGTGTTGACAAGCCTCAGCGTGTCAGACAAATGCTGCGCAAAGGTCGTAACCTTCCCAACATCTCGGCGCAAATTCACTGACCTTGGCACCCGCGGGGACCAAAAAGGTAGTACATCATTGGAGATAGCCATGCTGCTGTTCCATCCACAAAAAAATTCTTAACAGAAAGGATTTCAACCTTCAGTGAAAGATTTGCGATCAGATCTTTCCTATTTGTTGTTATCAGTTTTTGCAATAACGATGGGGAAGCGAGCCTTGCAAGGGGAAGGGTGCTACGGAGGCCACATCCTACCCGTAGGGAGGTATCATGTGTCTGTACAACTGTATGTCTGACAGAGACATTAATCTTGTTGGCAAGACATCCTTTTCACTAGGCAATGAGAAGGAGCTTGTAAGCAGGAAGTTGACCTGGATGGTGGGAGGAAGAGAGAAAATAGTTAAAATGTTCACAGAGCTGCATAGGTAGATTACTTACAATTTGAAGTCCATTACTGATTCCAAATTACCTGACAAAACTGTAGTCATTAACGTAATCCATTACATTAGACATTTTAGGTAATATAATCAGAATAATTTTAGATTACTTTTAGATTACTTTTGATTACCACATCCATCACATTGATTTAAATAGGAGAATCTTGTACTAAAATACAGAGAGAAAGAAAAAATATTCCATTTGTTGTTATTAACAACATGAGGTGCAAAGTGCATTAAACATTATATAATGATTTCCCAAACTGGGTTTTGGAACTGCCTGGAGTTTGAGTTTAATGAAAAAAAAAAAAATTAGGGAGAATCAATCAATTATGAATAATTTATTGCTGTTGTGTGAATAATATGCAATCATGTAATCAATAAAAAAGTAACTGTAGTCTGATTACGAGTATCTGAAAATGAAATATAATCTAATTACAAGTAATACATTTTTTGGTAACACTTTATTTTAAGGTGTCCTTGTTATACATGTTACATGTACAGTACTTACTATTATAATGACAATAAATTATGAATAATTACATGCAAGTAACCCTAAGCCAAACCCTTATTCTAACCTTAACCATATAATAAGTACATGTAGTTAATTAATATTACTCAGTACTTAAATGTATAATTAAACTGGAAAAAGGACACCTTAAAATAAAGTGTAACAAATTTTTGAAATCTGACTACATAATCCAGATTACATGTAATCATTTACTACCCAGCACTGAATGTACACTTTACAATAAGGTTCAATTTGCTAACATTAGTTAATGCATTATGTATCATGAACTAGCAATTTACCATTTTTACAGCATTTCTTAATCATGATTCGTGCATGCTTTATGTATTATTGTTCGGTGTTGATTTATGATAACTAATGCATTAACTAATGTTATCTAAAATGAAATCTGTTTGTAGATAATAAGACGTGTTACATAACTGAAGTAACAAATCAAGTAGTTCAAGCAGACACTCACTGTTGACTTGGTGCTTTCCATCATGGCCTCAACTGTGCTTTTTAATTCTGGGTCCTTTGCTGCAGCATCAGTGAAAACAAAAATGTCTGATGATGGAGGGGCTTGTGTCAGTGTCAACTATATCCATGAAACAACAAACCAGAACAAAAACGAACTTTTGAGATTATAATCACATAACTATCTTTATATAAAAGAACACACACACACACACACACACACACCAGGAGTGATGACAGGCACATATCTGAGAAGTTTCCACCATCGGATGCTAAAAGGGAATTAATATATTCTTTGAATGTGTCTGCATTTCCAGTCCGCATTAGAGGTCCAGAATCTGTCATCAGAAACACACACATTACAGAGACCAAGAACAGCGCATTTTAAACATAAAATGTGCCTGGTCCATGTATCTCACATGTATAAAATTCTGACCTACAATCTGAATGTCACAGCAGAAATCGAGACTCATCCAAACAGGCAATGTTTTTCCAATCTTGGTGGAATTTTGGTGAGCCCACTGTAGCTTCACTTTTTCTGTTCTCAATTGAACTGAACTGTTTCCTATCTATGAGTTTGAATCAGTCTGTTGAGTCTCCTCTCACCTGCTGCGTAGCACCAACAACCATTCCATATTCATAGTCACCAAACTATTCATATCATCAAACTATGAAGGAAAACCAATTTAACCAGCAGTGGCCCTGAAACAATTTGAAATGTGTTATATTTTAAGCACAATAGATGTACCCTGGTCATTAAATGTGACTAGAACATATTCTGAAGGTTCCTCTGATGTTCCTCTCCTGCTGTCTATGACACTGAAGCACACCCTCTTGAACACGTCAATGTAATTAGACAAACTGCCTGTGGTGTCAAACACAAAAGCCAGAACTGAAGCCTGAGTGAGGCCCATCAATCTAAAAAGAGAGAGAGGGGGAATGAAAAATTAAACAGTTAGCTCTATTTCCTTTTATTGAATGAAGAATGTACAGTATGGACATTTTTTCTAAAAAAATAAAATAAAAAAGTTTGTGTTCCTCGAAAGAATCAAAATCATACAGGTTTTGAAACATCATACCGAAGAAAGGCTACATTGCCTGTGGCCAGTCGGATGTCTTCCAGCAGTTCCATAGTAGCTCTGATGGCCATTTCAGCAGCACGCTTATGAAGGAAACCATGACTTGAGCTGATGTCATCCTTATTGATGCCTCCAGTGGGTTCTCTTGAACTAGTCCTGTCAAAAAAGCCGCCATGGCTACATTTGCCTGACAGACACAATTTTCATGGAAATGTTGTTGAAAAAAAAGTGTTTAGAGAGTCAGCTTCTCTCTACTCTCAGAATCAAACAAATCAAATATCCAGTTCGGAGAATAAAAACTTCATTCTTCAGTATGTCTCGGTTACGTATATACGTATATAAGCCCTCGTTCCCTAATGGAGGGAATGGAGACGTTATGTCGTGACGACATTAGGGGTTTACTTGGGAGCCCCAATCATCTCTGATTTTAAGAGAAAAAAACAAATTTTGCATGCTGAGCCACTCCCCGTGCATACGGGTATAAAGAGGCGACAGGTGCATCCACTCATCCAGGTTTTATGCTGAGGAGCCGATAACGTGTCCCTGGCAACCAGCGATGGTTCGAGGTTGTGGCATGGGGACATAACGTCTCTGTTCCCTCCATCAGGGAACGAGGGTTACATTCGTAACCGAGAGGTTCGTTATCTGTTGGTCACTACGAATTATGCCGTGACGATATTAGGGGTCAATGGAAAGTGCCACAACCCGAACACTGTCACAACCCTGTGGCGCCGCAAGTGTTGACAAGCCTCAGCGTGTCAGACAAATGCTGCGCAAAGGTCGTAACCTTCCCAACATCTCGGCGCAAATTCACTGACCTTGGCACCCGCGGGGACCAAAAAGGTAGTACATCATTGGAGATAGCCATGCTGCTGTTCCATCCACAAAAAAATTCTTAACAGAAAGGATTTCAACCTTCAGTGAAAGATTTGCGATCAGATCTTTCCTATTTGTTGTTATCAGTTTTTGCAATAACGATGGGGAAGCGAGCCTTGCAAGGGGAAGGGTGCTACGGAGGCCACATCCTACCCGTAGGGAGGTATCATGTGGAGACACTGATATGGACTGACCAAAGGGGCAGTACTACATATGGAATGGGTCTCTGAGGCAGGTCCTACCTGAAAGTAGGGATGGAACGACTGCCAGCAGAGACTGACAGAATGGTCTGTCAAAGGGAAGACATGGGTCCATTGAGAGGGAAACCTTACCATGGAAGAATACACATATAGGATCACCCGCAGGGAATCAAGCCATATGGACACCTAGCCCAGTACAGGGACTGACCGGGGTCCCGGGCATGCTAACACCGATACTGGGCCTGGCATCAGACTGCTTCGCCAAGTCTGACTGACGGGGGTGTTGGAGGATAATCAACCAGAGTTTGCCGTCCGGGGAACTGTACTGGAGGGGTAAAAATGCGCTCGCATCCCCGGGTGAGGGGGAATGGCGCGTCAAGTTTGACACTGGCCAGTCCTTTCCACCAATTACCTGTTACCCAACACACAGGAAGAAACCGGCTCAAAGTGAAGACTGTAGAATCTTGCGAAGGTGTTTGGTGTCGCCCAGCCCGCAGCTCTACAGATGTCTACAGAATCGCTGTGCGCCAGCGCATAGGAGGAGGCAACACTCCATGTGCAGTGAGCCCTCACCCCCAGGGGACATGTTGGAATTGCCTTGGAATTGGTACGTCAAGGCAATGGCATCCACTATCCAGAGGGCCAGCCTCTGCTTGGAGACAGCCTTCCCTTTTTGCTGACCTCCGTAGCAGACAAAGAGCTGCTCAGAGCTTCTGAAGCTCTGGGTTCGGTCCACGTATTTGCACAATGCTCTTACAGGAGACAGCAACGCCAAGGCCTTCCTCCGAGGGCAGTGCTTGCAGGTTCACCACCTGATTGTGAAAGGGCGTGGTGGGAACCTTGGGCACATATCCAGACCGGGGTCTCAGGACAACATGAGGGTAGGCCGGCCCAAACACAAGGCACTCTTCACTTACCGAAAATGCTTGGAGGTCCCTGACCCTCTTGATGGAAGTGAGCGTGGTCAGGAGTGCTGTCTTAGCAGACAGGAACTTAAGCTCGACTCAATCCAGCAGCTCAGAGGTACCCCTCTGAATTCCAGCCAGGACGATAGAGAGGTCCCAGGAGGACACCAGGGGTGACCTACGAAGATTTAACCTTCTGGAACCCCTCAGGAACCTAGTGATCAGGTCATGCTTACCCAAGGACCGGCCATCCACTGCATCATGATGTGCTGCGATAGCAGTGACATACACTTTCAAGGTGGAGGGTGACAGTCTATGCTCCAACCTCTCTTGGAGGAAAGAAAGCATGACCATAATCGGGCATCTCCGGGGGTCTTCTCGACGAGAAGAACACCAATTCACAAACAGACTCCACTTCAGGTCAAAAGCTCGCCTCGTAAAGAGGGCTTTGGCCTGAGTGATAGTGTCTTCCACTGCCGGTGGCAGATCACTTAGGTCTGCCGTGTCCCGTCCAGGAGCCACACATAGGGGTTCTAGAGATCTGGACGCAGGTGCCAGTGGTGCCTAGCCCCTGAGAAAGGAGGTCCTTCCTCAGGGGGATGCACCAGGGAAGGGGCTGTTGCGAGGAGTGTGAGTTCCGGAAACCAGGTCCGGGTGGGCCAGTACGGCGCAACCAGCAGGACCTGTTCCTTGTCCTTGTCATCCCCCCTTGGTGATGGAGTCGCCATTGTCCAGGGAAAGTGAGCTGTCGTGAGAGCACATCAGCCCGCACGATTAAGCTCCCCCGGAATGTGGACAGTAGCAGTGACTTGAGCCGCGTCTGACTCCAGAGGAGGACATGGTGGGCAAGTTGTGACATGCGACGTGATTGTAGACAACCCTGCCGGTCAATGTACGAAACGGTCACACTGCTGTCTGTGCAGACCAACATGTGCTTGCCAAGCAGCAGCGGCCAGAACCGCCACAAGGCTAGTAGCACTGCCAGCAACTCTAGGCAGTTGATGTGCCAAAGCAGTCGAGGCCCTGTCCAGAGCCCCGAGGCTGCCTGCCTGTTGCATGTAACGCCCCAGTCCGTGCTGGAGGCATCCGTTGTGACAACGACATGCCGAGACACTTGTTCTAAGGGCACTCTGGCTCGCAGAAAGACAAGGTCTGTCCAGGGGTTGAATGAACGGCAACACATCGGCGTGATGGTCACGCGAAGTGTACCACGGCACCATGCCCATCTCGGGACTCAGGAGTGTAACCAGTGCTGAAGTGGTCTCTTATGAAGCAATCCAAGCGGTGTGACTGCGGCTGCGGGTGCCATATGCCCCAGGAGCCTTTGAAAGTTTTTCAGTGGTACCACTGTCCTGCCTCTGAAGGAACTCTGAAGGAACAGTTCAGCGCGGACTGGGTGTGCTCGTTGTTGAAATGCGCCCTCATACTCACTGAGTCTAACTCCATACCGAGAAAAGAGATTCTCTGCACAGGGGAGAGCTTGCTTTTTTCCCAGTTGACCCAAAGCCCCAACTGGCTGAGGTGCCGGAGCACCAGTTCCCTGTGATCACACAACTGTTCTCGCGACTGAGCCATGATGAGCCAGTCATCGAGATCGAGTCAGTTGAGGATCCTGATGCCCACTTCCCGTAACTGGGCAAAGGCACCCTCCGTGACCTTCGTAAAGACACGGGGAGACAGGGACAGCCAACGTCTCTCATCTCGACCAGGTTGAGCCTGAGATGCCTCTCTTGGACCACTAATGGGGTCATAGCCTTCCCGAGGGACTGCGCCATGACTTTCGTCGCCCAGAGAGCGAAGTCAGTCGCCGTGCACAGCTCCTGCATCAACCCTGGGTCAGTACTACCCTCGTACATTCGTTTTAGTGCCTTGGCTTGGTGGACCTGCAGGATAGCCATGGCATGCAGGGCAGAGGTGGCTTGACACCCGAGAAGGGCAGCCCCACCAAATCTTCTTCCTCAGAGGACGATAGCCCATCCCCCGATGCTGCTATCGACATCTGATCCTCAGGCAGTGCACCGAATGAAACGCTGGGGCCACCGTGAAGCAGGCCAGCAGAATCATCCGGGAGCCGCACAGGACAAGCACTGCAGGAAGAGTAAGAGGTCCAGCAGAGAGGCTCTTACTGTAACCCTCAGATCTCCCAGAGCACTAGCCGGCGGTCCTCTGCTTGTGGCAGAGAAACCAGAACGGGTAGTGACAGAGGGATCTCGTACTTTCCCTTTAAGAAAGTAGAAATGCGATCGCAGCGTTGCCATGGTCATGTGCTCGCAGTGCGATGACATGAACCATTCGCGAAGTGTCTTCAGCATGCCGTATCAGATATTGTCTTACTATAGGGAGATGAGAGAGTCTGTATTACTTACTATTGCAGAAAGCGTAATGCTAACTTTGATCACGTGTGCCTTACCAATCACATTACAGCCTTGACGTCGTTGAATTTCAGTCAGAGTTGTACAACACTCAGTTGCCGTTTACGGATACCATAGGAATGAGAATTGCCGTAAGCTGAATCCCACCTGTTGCAAAAAGTCATTGGCTTCTCTTATAAAACAGCATTTTTTTCATGGTAATCTCTAAAAATAGTTAAATCCAAAAGTTTTGTTTAGTGTAAAACATGTTGAAGATTAGCAGACAGGCTGTCGATTCATTAAATAATAAGCCATTTCCTCTAAAAAGCTTATTATTCTGCTTATTATTCAGCGTAGTGAAGCCTCTCCTCCATTGACATCCATAAAAAAAATGGCCTCTGGTCTCCTTTCCCACGTACTGCCAAAGCGGAAGTGTTAGCATTAGCCGTTAAATTTTTTTGGCTAAAGGTTGCAGGCTTGCCTTCTAGTGGCTTTGGCTGTATGCCCAGACACGGAAGATAACGCTCATGGCCGTCATCAGAGGACAGGAAATGACCGCAACCAAGAGGACACGGACAGCACGGCATCTTTTAGAGAAACTGCTCTTTTAGTTGAAGCACCCAGGGGAATCGGGCGCCCTTCACGCTGTACCGCCAACCAGAACAGCTCTCAGACACACAGCAGATGAAAGGCTTTGTGGATTATAACAGCTTTCATACAACCACTTGGCTCCGAAGCAAAAATCTGAATGAGTGGATGCACCTGTCTTTATACCTGTATGCATGGGGAATGGCTCAGCATGCAAAATCCACTAGGTAAATTTCATTGGCATTTTCTCTTTAAATCAGAGATGACTGGGGTTCCTAAGTAAACCCCTAATGTCGTCACGACATAACGTCTCCATTCCCTCCATAGTGAACGTAGTGAACGACAGATAGGGAAAGTAAAGTAAGATGACATATCATATTTGACCTGAAAACCAAAACACCTACCAGTGCTAACGCATGAGATACTAAGCTTTCTTACCTGCAGGTTTGGTTGAGGAAAATAAGCGGAAATATCCAGATGTTAATATCTTCTGCTGCAATACCTCTGGGACAATGTTGTCACTGCAGTCTTCTCCAACACAGCTTTTACATGTTTTTGTTTTGGGACCTAGAGACATCCAGTCATCCATATATATGGTACAGAAAGTGGTAAATTTACACAATATTTAAAGTGTGACACATTTTTTATTTGGCATAGGTGAGCAATAGTAAATAAATGAAGTGACTGAGGAACTTAATTTTGAGATGAATACAAAAAAATAACTTCAGAAAAGACTACAGTACCTGCTAGATTGTCGAGAGGACGTTCAGGTTTGATCAGGGTGCTGAAAGGAGCAGTGCTTCCCAGTTCCACCCAGTTACTGTGGCTGTAGAAATCCTGCACACATAACACATATGTTTGTTACATCGTTCTTAACAGAAACAATTTTCTCAGTTCAGTTCACAGTCCCGGTATGGTCGCCAGAACTAACATACCTGTAAAGTATGACATACGCCCCCAAGACTAGAGCGGGCAGACAAATAGTTTCCTTTTTTGATGCTGGCTTTCACAGCAGCTATGCCCTGTGTGATGAGGTCCCGTCCATTTTTGAAATCTTCATTATCAAAATGATGAACAGTACTTAACTGATTTCCATCCACAGCTGCATTGCTAAGGGAAGTCTGAATAGTAGCTAGATTAAAAGTGGATAGTTTTAATAGATGAGAATATGAACTTGAGCATGCTCTCTGGACGGTAGTTGCAGTGAGTTTGCTGTTGATCTGGAGGTGAGGAGTGGAAGAAAACAATTTAGCATTAAAATTTTCAGAAAATTTGCATTTATGAATTCTGTAACCTAGTTTGTAACAGTAAACAAAGCTTCCCAGTCAACAATTTGATCTCATAGTGATTATAATTAGTGATGCTGTTTACATTGGATGCGACGTGGCATGACACGACAAATTCCCTACAGTAAACTAATGCCTCACTCTATTTCTGACGTACTTACACAATTTTGAAATGATTTGCATTGGTCACTTTGTTGCATTCAGTGTAGACAGCCTCAAGCAGTTATGCACAAATGGTCTGCTAACAAATCCTGCAGTATCCACTTTTTTTCCAGTGTTGAGAAACAGGGGGCAAATATCGGTCTTTCAGACAAATCCAAACAGAGTTAAAGCATATTAAAAATGTCCTGGCTCTTCCAAGCTTTATAATGGCAGTGGGTGGGTGTTTTTGTTCAACAGTCCAAAAGAAGTCCAATAAAGCGTGCATTTTTGTAAGAAAAATATCCATATTTAAAACATTATAAACCGTCTAGCTTGTGCTTACTGTCATACATACAAGCCGTTCCGGGGCGGATGACGTAGGACATATGCGTAGCGTATGCACCAGTGAGAAGTGATGAATGCGGAAGCACGGAGGAGAGAGCAAAACAAAACACTTGTCACGAATTAGAAGTACAAAATGAGAATTTGTAAAGAAAAATGTTGGAGGAATTCGATACAAGCCAAGAGGAGACTAGTTTTCCTTTGCTAAAGTAAGGAAACTTTGCTTCCTTTGCTCCTGTAAACAAAATTTGGTTTACGCAAGACTAGCATATTCTCAGTGGTGCATTGCACTACGCATATGTCCTACGTCATCCGCCCGGAATGGCTTGTGAGTACGGCAGTTAGCGCAAGCTACAGAAAACAGTTTATAATGTTTTAATTATGGAAATTTTGAATTGCTGGAGGAGGCCTTTATTGACCCTCCAGAGCCATGTGAGTGAGGCACTTTGTATTATGGATGGATGCACTTTATTGGACTTCTTTTGGACTGTTAAACAAAAACACCTACCCACTGCCATTATAAAGCTTGGAAGAGCCAGGACATTTTTAATATAACGCCGACTGGATTTGTCTGAAAGAAGAAGGTCATATACACCTAGGATGCCTTGAGGGTGAGTAAATCATGGGCTAATTTTCATTTTTGGATGAACTTAAAATCTGTGTGAAATTAATATGAATATAAATAATATAAATGCCAATCTTCATGACATTATACTTGTGTATATGTTAGTTCTGGTTTAGTATGCTAATTTGTAATACGAAGTTCCCAAATAAATAAATAAATTAATCTATCTATCTATCTATCTATCTATCAAAATTTTACATCTTACGGGTAGCGTAAAGTCTTTGCCCCGGGCAGTGGCTACGTCACGACACACTTCCGCCATCTTTCGGAGGAAAGCTGCCTCAGTGATTTGATGATGGGTGAGGGATCCATCGGCAGGGAAGATTTTGAATGCTGCCACTTGAGGGGGCTGAAATAGAGCCCCCTGGAGGAGAAATACAGCCACTACAACCAGTGAAACCATGAATTTTTATTTTCAGAATTTTCATTTTCAATGCTAACAGAGCTGGTTGAAAGAAAGTGTAACAGCTGTCAAGTGAGTAGACAAATGGAACAGCAAGAAGAATAAGCCTATACTTAAAACTATTATTTAATGTTTGATTTTATTTAAAATTTTACATTTTAAAATACAAAATGTAATCTAGTAATTGAGTGGTACATTTCTATATTTCTATGAATTTCTTTAGATTGCATTACCTTGCTGTAGACTTTGCTTGAGTATAATGTATTTGCAGGCTCCGTTTGTATATAGTATATATATACATATCCTTTTACACGTCACACATTAATGTCGCAGGCAAGTAAGTGATTGCATAAATGATAAAACTTAAAGATATCCTGTTTCCATTTTAAACATCATTAGACTATATGCTTTTCATAAAAATATAATAAAATAAATAAACTACCTACGTGTAATATCTACAAAATGAGTCCACACCGACTGTTTATGATATACAAACCCCCTAAATAAAGAGTGCTGAACATGAATTGGACCAAAAAGGGAGCAAAAATGAAAGTAACCCATACTGGTGGGGAAGTCGTGGCCTAATGGTTAGAGAGTCGGACTCGTAACCCAAAGGTTGCGAGTTCGAGTCTCAGGTCCGGTAGGGATTGTAGGTGGGGGGAGTGAATGTACAGCGCTCTCTCCCACCTTCAGTACCACGACTGAGGTGCCCTTGAGCAAGGCACCGAAACCCCGACTGCTCCCTGGGCGCTGCAGCATAAAAGGCTGCCCACTGCTCCGGGTGTGTGTTCACGGTGTGTGTGTGTTCACTGCTGTGTGTGTGCACTTTGGGTGGGTTAAATGCAGAGCACTAATTCCTAGTATGGGTAACCATACTTGGCCACATGTCACGTCACGTCACGTCACTTTGCATAATCCCCACCTTTTGTAAATAGATACAGTGCTAGAATGAAGACTGATTTCAACACCCACACCTTGCTGGTCAAAAGAAGATTTAAATACCACATAAGAATGCAGCTTCACCTGGAAAAACGTTTGACTTTCCCCACAATCTGCTTGTTTTAGAAAGGTTCAGACAAAAATTCGGAAGTCATATAATAAAAAAGCTTTTAATGGTCTGATGGTACCTATTTTTTAAGAAAATGGTGACGTATAGGGAAAAAAAATTGTGATGTGGTAAGTATAGGTTAAATGTGTGGGGGAAAAAAAACAGATTGATTAGGATTTCTATTTAGTTATTGTTTTTAACCTTTTCCCCCCAGGTTTTCTTACTCATTATTCTTTTTCTTTATATTATTTTTATTTTGCCCTCTAATTTGAAATGGAACTCCCTTTCTTGCCTCTTTGAAGAAAACACCCAGATTCATTTTACATTACATTTACATTTATACATTTAGACTCTTTTATCCAAAGCAACTTACATATGAGGAATACAACATATATCACAAGGAGGCAATAACAGAAGTGCTACTACAGTATTTAGCTAGTCACAGTATTTTGTGAGCTAATATGCTAATTGAAGCTCAAAATGTCCACCCTGTCATTGTTCCAAAATGTACA